ATTAATTTCTTGTATTGGTTGTATTATTGCATTTATTTAATTAGTTTATTATGCTGATATACATTAATTTGGAGGACTTTAGAGAGAATTATATAAATAATTATATTTATTTAGTGAGCAAGTATAATAATACACAGATATTGTGTTTTTGTTTACTTTATTTTCCAATATCAAATCTACTAAATATTAAAATCTAAAAATCTAAATATGTCATTTGGTTGACATTTGTTTGGGAGTTGTGAAAGTATTTACCCCTTTCGAAGCAACGCGACTGTATTTTAATTAATTTGACAAAACTTCTGATTAAAAATAAAAACATTTTATTTTTTCCTGCTACCTCTATTTTTTGTTCTCTCGATATTTTCTCAGCATAATTTTGCGAGACTTTATTGAAAAAGAAAAAAAATTCAGAAAGGACATCGACTAGGATTCATCGAATTCGTAATTTTTCCTCCGTGTCCTTTTTCCTTCTATCACTCGTAACGATATCATCCTAGAAACCATCTGGATTTCGAAATTTCCATCGTCATTTACACGGTTTTATTCTGCTGGAATGGTCTTATGGGTCTCCAGGTTGTAGGCAGAAGGTGGGCGGAAGTCGACGTCGATTTTTATTGGATTTCCGTGCACGCCGCAATCACTTATCTCACGTTAAACTCTCGTATCCACTTTCAGTGATAATTTCTGAATTTTTCGCGCATTATTCATGGAACACCGCTTCAGCTACTCTAGTTTTTGTATTCGTTCCACGGGAACGATTTTACGCGTTTCTGGTCCGGCGCTAGTATTTCGATCATACGTTTCGTTTCTCATTTGACACAAAACCTTGTTTTTCTTTCTCGTTTCACGTTGAAATTGTTCTTTTGACGGGTGTACAGCTTTTATCAGCCCGATGATGCTTTACGACGCAACAAACAGAATTTTTTTTCGTATTAAATGGTTGACACCGCTTGTCCGAGGATAAAGTGCCTCAGTTTTTGAAAATTTTTGAATTTTCATCCTTTTTCCTTTGGACCATATTTAAAAACTTTTGAATTTGATTATATTACATATATTTATTTGTCGTTATATAAATATCAAAATTCTATATTAATGAAAGGTTTAATTTTAAGTGAGTATAAATCTGTAAAACGATATGAATGAAATCACGTCGAATTGAGTGTTCCATTTATCTTCATTTATCGTGAGGCACGGTCAGGATCAATCAGTGATTTGGTATGCATTGTTTTTCGACGATCGAAAAGATTCGTCGCAGTTTGCTCACGGTTCAAATTGATCGTGTTGAAGCGATTCTTCTCGAATCCGTATCAATCTTTCCACGTTACGCTGTAAACACAGCGTGAATGCGTCGAATGGCGTCGATCTCTATGGAATTGGGCGAGTTTTTAATCCGCGAACGAAACCTTCCAAATGGCGAGCCATCGTGAATCAATAGCCAGAAAATGGAGGTAAACGTTTACGTTCTGTTACAACGAGTGCCGCTTCGCTGCGCGCATTTTCCATGGATAAAATTAAAATGCGAATAAAACGGATACGTAAGGCGATCAAGAAACCACTTTAACCGGAAATTCGATTTTCTCGATTGAAAATAGTCAGATGACGAGCACTTCCTTAGAAAAAAAGAGAGCTTCATCTTCAACAGAAGACTTTGAGAAGTTTTCGCTTAGAACACTATTTCACTTTTTGTTTATTATAAAATTGTTTCGCCCGACATTGATCGTTATTGTATTACAAAGAGGCTTTTTTTTAGTTAAAAACTCTTGTTTCATAAAGTTACTTTATCGATACTTTTCCCTTTAATCATTATCTACTTTATTTTTTTATACTGAGATTGTTTTTCGTTCTTTTTGCTGAGAAACTACTCGAATTTGTTTAAATTGTTTTATAAAGTAAGAGATGTAGTGAGGATTTAATAGGTGTTTGTTTGCAAACGTTGAAAAATGCAAAAAGTATATATACTGCTAATTAAAATATTTGACACGTGACTGACCCGGTAGAAATGTTTTAAAATTGCTTTTATAAAAACAAAATAATTATTTATATACTAAACTTAAAATTCAAGTTTTTATTATACATAAGTTTTGTGTATAAACGTATACACAAATTATTACAAATATTACAAAATTATCATTTGGAAGTTAAAATGCATCTATAATTGATTCGCAAAATTTTCGAGTATTTATTTTACTCTTAGATTACATAGATTTTATTATGATTTCTATGCAAAACAAGAAATTTTATACTAAAAGAGTATGAACGTAAGGAAGGTTTCCATGGATCATCTCTTATGCGCTTGTTGAAATCTCCATATTACATACGTTCATCGAATCTGTCAAGCATTGAAGTCTTCGATCTCGTAGCTTCTAAAATGTTATATTGTATTTTCAAATATAAAACAACTTATTCTATTTTGTTTGAAGTTTCAGTGTTACTAAATATAATAAATTATTTCATTTGAATCTGTTACACGTGAATGGGAAATATTATTTATTATGCGAAAAGATGAAGGATATTCTCGTCGGTAGGCTACCTGCAAAAACAGTAGAGTTGATAATCCCTGTGGATAAACATTCGGATTATCGGCGACCGGCGACAGACGTGCCGAAGCACGATCGTACTTCCATTCGTTCTTGTGTGTTCCTCGCGTCAGTACACGATCGGAAAGCGTGCACATCGGATAAACGGAGTTTATTTCCACATCAAGTTTATATATCTAAACCTCAGAGCCGAAGTATATTCGGTACACTTTTAAAATTTTAGAGAAGAGAAAATCAAAGGTGCAAAAGCCTTTTAATTTTGAAATCGCTGGAGGCATGTACTTACGTAACTTTTTAACTTTCGTCTTATTACACTCTGGCTCTGAGGTTGAAATATATATTCACATCCCTAGTGAACGATCTATAGTATCAGAGAAGCATCTTAGTGAAGAAGAGCTACGCTAAAAGTAAGAATCTCTTCCAAATTATTTGAAAAATAGACATAAACATACAGTATAAATTATTTTAGAGTAATTTGTCTAAAAAAAGTGTTTGGTGACAATACAATTGAAATACAATAGTACTTGTGAGAATAATTAAACGTAGTAGGAATAGACACCGTTTAGATAGTAAAATTGTGCATAAATCGGCTGTAGTATAAACAGCAGATTAATTAGTAAATTTATTTCGTCACTTCTTTGATTTTATTAAATAAACTTGAAATACGCGTTCAAATTATCTTTCATGAACCAATGTAAAATAATCTACAATTAAGATCTATGTGGTAAGAAGTATCGTGTTGTAAGACCAATTGAATCGATGTTAAGCTTACAATTTTTAATGCGATTTACTGCATAGACTCATATTTCGACAATAAATATCGATTATCGAAGCGAGCTTTCAGCAGCGGTGAACTGTAGTATATTGAGTGTCAGGAATCTACATGATACATGGGCCACGAAATGGGGCTGTGATATATGTACTAGAAATATGATTATAATCACGAGGAGGCTTATACATTTCTGTAAAAATGTAACAAATAATATGATACGCATTTAAATGATAATGTATCATTACTCATCTGATCAACTCTTTGCATTAATAACATCAACCTCCCCTGTTGGTATACATGGGACCTTGTTGGGCTCATCATTTTCGAAAAATATATTTTTTAATTAAACCTAGAACATTATTTCTATCGTGGAAAGAATTCCAAAAGTAGTTGCAATTTCTAAAAAGAAGAAGTTAAACTATTTCGCTTCAAAGTTTCCACCATATCCTGGAGTCAGTTCAATTTAACCTGCTTAATAATTCCAATCAGATCGGCCAAACAAGATGTTCAAGAGCATTAGCTTTTCACGATTTTTCGTGCCGCGAATCGTATCAGCGGACGGTGCTGATGGCAGCCTTATCAAGATTTCCTTCGCTAATCCTGAGTCTCCACGCATCGAATTAATTAAACTTCTCGCTTTCAGTTTGAACTACTTTTCTCTGGTTCGCATTTTTCCCTACTTTCGACATTGCACCACATGTACTCTCTGTTTCCAAACGGTATCCTTAATTAACTGTAGTCTCAGGGGTGGGATGTTAGGACGTAAGTAGTTCTTGAAATTCTGTTAAAATAATATTCACGGTTTACCGAGATAGTTAACCGGTTCATGTGTCAGAGTTTGTCGCACGAACTTCATTTAAATAATTTGCATAATTATAAACAGTCTGTAGCATAGAAAGTAGGTCGCGTAGTTTGTACGTAAAAATGAGGTATTTAAAAAATTAATGTTCAATTAATGATTGCAAGATGATTTGTCTTTATTAATTATTTATGATTCCCCAAGAAGCTAAGGAAATACTATAATTTGTAAAATGCTATTACAAGATGAAATGCACTTAAGATGCACTTAAACAAGTTTTAAAAAGAAATCCTTAATTGTTTTATATTGTTTTTTCCTCTTTATGTTTTCTTTAAGTTCCTACGTACTTTCGCGATGTTGATCTAAAATCATCTTAGCGGAACGAGTTTTATATACTTTAGAACTTCGAGTTGAACCATTCTCCTTTTCACTCTTAAAAGAGTTTGTAATTTTGCAGAATGGGTTGGTAAATAGAAGTAAGAATAAACTTCGGCGAAAATTAGATCGTTAATATGGCGACTTAATTTGAATACAATAAAAAGTACTTGTAAAGTTACATTAATTATCGTGTAATTATTATTAAATATTTATGTATGTTCATCTGTTAGTTTCCATGATAATTAGAAATAATACTACGTATATAATACATACTAAATATACACTAAAAAAGAAATTGAAAAAATATTTTTAAAGAAGAAATTTGAAATGTAATATTTTAATATTAAAATATTTTTCAATTATTTTCTCTGAATTTTAATTGGAAAATTTTTAGACCATTGTATTGTGCAAGCATTGAAATATTAAATGCAATATCCGCCAATAACAGCCTATCTTTTTAAAGGAAAAAAGAAAGAATTCTTTAACCACTGTTTTTCGCACCTTTTTGTTTCAGAACTGGTTTATGATTTATTGGAGGCAGCGGTGGCATCGACAGACGACAATAATTTGTACATCGACGATGGCCTCGATGGATTTCCAGCTTTTGGTTTCAAACCTGGTTCTGAAGTTAAACAACCCTATCGATTATATCTTCCTGAAAAACTTCCTGCTGAGTTTACTCTGGTGGCAACATTCAAACCGACATCCTTCAGGACCAGTTATCTCTTCGCGGTTCTTAATCCATTTGAAACGGTGGTGCAGTTCGGAATCCGAATTTCGGTAAGTATTTCTCAAATTACATAAAATTTATAAGCAGTGACGTAGGACTTTTTTCTGGGGTGGACCAGGTCTTTTAAAAATTTAGAGATCTTAGAGTTTTTGAATTTTGACAATCTGGAATTTTGAAATTCTGGGCTTTCGTTAAAGTATTACAAATTAGTAGTACAAATCGTTGAAACAATTTGTTTTTTACGTTAGTAATGCTGGTTCGTTTAAGAAGTACATCTACCCTTGATCCGTATATCTGTTCGTGTTCTCTCGGAATATACGATCGTGGGGATAAGGGTTGGATAAGAGAACGAAGGATCGGGAGGTGTATGTAAAGTCAATCAAGAGGTCGACGAAAATTTCCAAGTAGAATCGGTCGATTTATAAGAAATGGGCTCTGACGGTGCAATAGGGTTTTAAGTCGACACTCCCCATCGTCGAATGAAGAGCGTTCTCTCATGTTTCCCAATCCCTTCGAGGCCATTGTTGCAGCTCCCGGGCTCTTCAAATTTCTTTGAGATCTTTCACGTTTCTCGCTGCACCGTTTCCACGGGTAATACGGTACCTACGTGTTCTGCAGCAGAAACAGTCCTGCCCCTTTTGACGTTTCGGGATATCCCGATTCCTATGGGAATCGACGGTAACAGGTTACCACTGTGGGAAAACAGCTCAATTTGCGAATCTTCGAGGTCCCTCTGTCAAAATATCTAGAGACAATTCTGATGGCGAAAGTAATCGCTTGTTGTTTAATAACGAGAGTTGAATATTAACACTTAATCGACGGGTTGTTTTTTTCTCTATTTTTTCTCCATTTCCGGGCTTTTTGGAGGGCAGCGCAATTAAAACACGAGAAATGTTAATTCAGTTGACACAATCCTGGGGAGGGTCTTAAAGATTGTGAAATTTATCTTATCATAGCATTTAAATTATGCCTTTTATACAAATGGCGTTGTCTCACCTCGAACATAAGGAAAGAGAGAAAGTCATAAAGAAAGTTGGCAAAGACTCAAGTTTAAGAGGTGAAGTCACCCTCTGGAAATTGGTACCTTCTATTTGAAGATGGAAAGTGTATTTTTTATATAAAATATCTGAGTTATTCTTTGCATTTCTTTATGGTCCTCTGATAATTAATCTTCCAATAATACTGTAATAATTATGCAAAATGTAACTTCTTCACAATTATAATTTTAAATTATGAAATTTTCTTTTTATAGGACGGTCCAGGGACTAATCAAAACGTTTCCCTAATTTACACTAATTCTGATCAACATTCACATTCAGAGGAAGTGGCAAAATTCACGGTGCCAAAATTGACGAAGAAATGGTCGAAAATCGTCATCAGGGTCTCGACAACCGACGTCACTTTGTACCTAAATTGTCACGAAATGGCGAAACAAAGAGTGACCAGGATACCTTTGGAATTAGTGTTCGACACTGCCAGCACATTGTACATCGCCCAGGCCGGTCCCCATATTCAAGAGAGATACGACGTGAGTACATAAACAGCTTTATCATTGATGATTCATGCTGGAATTAATATAATCGTTGTTGAAGCGATGCTGAACGAGGTTGAATCTGTTCTGATTTTCGATAACAAAACCACAATTTGAATATCGCTCGGTGGACGAATCGAGTCACTTGTCGGTATGAATTTCGGTCTGTTCAAAATATTATACATGCATAAATTTAAAATGCACCGGAATATTTATGTGACCGCTTTAATTCATTTTACAACTGGCACACGATTTGTTATATACGTGTCAAATATGCAGAATGTGTAATTCATTATTTTACGTCATTTTCTTTTTTACTAAACTGGGGAAGAATGAAATGAAATGTTTCCAAGTTTGCTGTATAAAATTATTTTATGAAAGAATCGTGGAGAATTCAGCATCGTTTCCATTTTTTAATAAATATTAGAATTTTCTTCACGAGTTTCGTCAGTCTTAAGGAGACTGATAAATAATCGCGAATTATCTAACTTCGAAACGCAATGGTCATTATAAAAATTGCATGCTGTGGTAATTTAATTGCTAGTCGAGTTCTTTGATAAAATATTAGCATAAGATATGGAAATTTCTATTTAAGATCTTGTATTAGATACAAGGTGGAAATTTGAAGGTGAAATTGTTTCTCTCCAATATTTTTATGGAATAAAATTGTAATTAGTTTTCGATTATTATTCAATTAGCCAGAAGGTCATTAGAAACAGAAGGTATTACAAAAAATTTTTTCTCTATAAATTCAATTTTTACCGTTAAACTAATTTGGAAGATCTAAAGATGACAGTATGCATTTGCATTACTGTGTATTTCTCGTACTACAAAACGTTAAAAATATATCAAATTGATACGAAAATGTTAAATTGTAGATTTTGCATAATTATATTGGAATGAGTACCAGAAAGAAATAAAATTCTAAGTAATTTTGTTACATTGAATAACTATAAGATATTTTCATAAGTTTAAAGTTAGAGACATTTATTGCCGTCTAAACCGACAAGTAAGTAATCAAACATAATTATTTATAATTTTAAGTTTATAACGTTTGAAATGTCGATTTTCTACTACGTTTCAAATCGTCGTTTAACGATAATTAGTACCCGTACTGATATAACGTAACCATCGGAGACAATGATTTACTTCAGTCCTTTGTTAATTAGCCGCTGACGATAATTGTTGCAATCTGGTGCATTGCAATATTTCGTTATAATTATATAATAGCACACTACCCTCCAACGGGAAATTATACTGTCGCGATTAATATGATCCGATTTATCCTCAATATTAATACTCTTTATTTCTATATTTGCGATAATTCTTATCAATTTTAATATTCTGTCTTGTTAATACATTAAAACTAATAATGAGCTATATTGTATTTCCATAACAATAGTACACGTGATTTTGTTTTTATTAATTAATAATCTCAGTAATATCTTCAGAGCAATTTGATCGAAAAATTACAATAATTTTCTTACAAAGTTGAATATTGTTTCATATTTTATATTATCAATAACAGACTACGATAGTTCATTAATTCATTGCATACAATTGCATACTTATAATTGTAAATAGATCTCATCATTTTACGGATCTTTTTATTCTGGGATTATTCTGTGACGTATAACGAAAATACGGTTAGTTCGCTGTATAAATAACTAAAGAAGCTGCAATCGTGAAATGAAAATAGAAAGAGAAGTACTGTACATACATGTAAGTAAATAATGAAAGGGGATAAATCGGGTGCAATGAACGTGAAATTGTAAATAACTATTGCAGATTTCTGATTGCCATTTGCTACTTTTTTGTGCGATATGAATAACCATCTTTAGAAATTGTACAAATTTTGTGCAAATATTGCATTTATTGTTAATTACAAAATGCTACGATAAAGTTTATTTATGATTATAATTTTAAATTAGGTGGTTTAAATTTAAGTGAATCGTATTCAAAGTTCTATGACAAGTTAAAAGATGAAGTAATTTTTTACTTTCTGATCCATGGAAAAAAGTAGAAGATTATTAGAGTCAATTTGCAGAATTTTTCCAATTTTCAATAGGAACAAATAATCTTTTCTTTGGTTATCTGATTATATGTTATTAAATAACATACACCAGATGGCGAGCAATTTAAAAATCGAGAGCTGAAAGCTCGACACAAAAGAAGAAGAACCGAGGTGGAAGATTTGACCCGGGAACAATTTGTCGTTTATCTATGTGTGTCGTCGAGTTTCTCTTCGATCTTTCACCACTCTGTTTCGCACGATTACTTTTCTGCCGAGAAATACCGACAACCGTTTGAAATCTTTTGCATTTTCTCATCCTTCCCTTAGTTCGTATTGTTTCGATTGGAATAAGTTTGCTCGAGTCTGCATGAATTCATTTGAACGCTTCGGTCGAACGCGAATCGAATGCATTTGAATAGCTACAATTCGATCAATCAGTCGAAAGAAATAATTTAAAATGTTACGTTCAACTTTTCGTTGTTCTTTTTTCCGAAATGGTAGATAAAAAAGTAACTGAAATTTCATTATAATAATAATTTCATTTTATGAGTGCTATTGCTCATATAGTATGTATTGAATTCCTTTTTAATCACTTTTTTATACAGTTTGTCATATTAAATAAAATTAAAAATAAAATAAAATAAAATTTCAGTTATTAATGTAAGTTTACAAATAGAAGTATGATATATTGAAGTAGAACTTACATAGAAAAATTCTTTGAAAAATTCGTGATCCCGTTAAATATTACAAATAAAGCAATTTTCTTTTTTAATTTTTCGATTATTTACTAGTTTCAAGCCACGCAGCTATTGAAATCGAAGTAGCGAGTAATCAATTAGCCTGACGTTTGGTAGAATCGCTCTGGCAGAAAATTAAATTTTCAGCATTTGTACTGCTTTTCCAATATTACACCGACCCTTATTTTCAACTTCAAAATACAGAAAGTGGTGTTGTTGAACTTTATTAATCGTTCGTGCCTGCTTGACCCAGAAAGCATACATACATTCATTATTTTCTAAATTATTAACCGATCTCTTTTCTCGCTTTAACGTCAGCTCCTTTCATATATTAACAATCTTCTATCGTTAAGTTTAGACCTTTTTATTACAAAAATTGCAACAAATAAGGGGAGAAAAATTTGTTTAAATCATTCTGCTGGAATTTTTTAAATCGTTATTTCGAAGAGCAGGTATTCGAGAAAATTGTCGAGCGTAAAGGAAAGCTCACGAACGTGTCGCGTATAATTATTTCGACGCGAGAGCTGTAACAGCCTTTAATTTACGATCGAATCTGCATAAAAGGACCGTAAGTTGGGTAAGAATGCACCGGCTACACAGTTTCCGCTTGCATTTTACACTGCTGCGGTTGCGTTTACAGCAGCATCATAATACATACCATCGTGCACGTTTCATCGCGTTTCAAAGATAATGCCGCATTCAGTCTCCATATACATACCATCTAATCCGTATTTTACATTATTTATTAATGTGACCTTTTTGCACGATAAATGTAACTTACTATGCATTCTGACGGTATACATACTTTGGTGAACATTACATCGGTGCTGCTAAGGGACAATAAATTTTCACGAGGCAAATTGCATATTACAATACATATAGCTTGCTGTTTATGCATTTTCGATGACAAAAGTGTAGGATAAAATTGAATAAATTACAAAATTCTGAAAATTCAAGAGTTTATTCAGTTGTAAAATATCCGAAATGAAAATGATAAATAACTTTAGTCTCCGGGAGAAAAAAGGGAAGAGGGAGGGTCAATGAAAAGGAGAAAGGAAAGAGGAAGAATACGTGCCCCATGATAGAACTTTCCATTGTCATTTAGAAAATTCTCATTTCCCTGATGTCAGCCTAATACTCGGAGTCCAAAGTCAAGCTAGCGATATGCGCAGAGAAAAACTCGTTTCTCGCAAGAATCCTGGGATAAAGACAGCCCGTAGGGCTTCATTCGCGGGCCTAGAGAGTATCCGTACTATTCTCGAGGATCGTAAGGATATATAACCGGGGGAAATGTAACGAGGACGAAGTGGATGCGCATCGTGCACCAGACCATAAGCTAGAATGTAGAATGTATACCATCAGCATCAGGAGGGATATGCACCCTGTATAAAACCACCGACTGGCTAGCTACTCTCTTCTTCAGAGGAACGGACATTGTTCTCATATCAGTGTATTTTCACGGAAACACCGGAAACTAGTTGTCTTTACATGAGATTAGCAAGATCAGAAACACCATTGTTTCACCCAATATTCTTTCAACAAAGAATTATTAACAAAGAAGATTAACAAAGAAGATACTCGATTAATTATAGAAATTAACATTCAGCTTTCTTAGACTATTAAGCTACCAGTATTATGGTTTCCTTTTTTCTCCTTCCCCGTGCTTATTTCTCGTGTTCGCGTTTCTTTAACGAGCGTCGTTACTGCCATGGAACAGGCGTCGAGACGCAGAGATTGCTTCGTTATATGAAATTAGCCATTTAGAGGCAGCCTTTCCGGGTCGGTCCACCTTCCCTTCATTATTCCATATCCAGCAGAACAAATTTCTCCTTGTTGTTGTTCGACGATAAAAAAGTAAACTCGTTCGTTGCGTTTTTCGAATGAACTGGTGAAAATTGAATTTCATTTTTCTGGAGGAATACAAGCTGATTTCTGGCAATAATATTTAACTAAATTTTTACATTTTTCACTATAATTCTTGCCAATTTTTTTGTTACTTTCTAATAAATTATATTAATATCATGAGACAACTTCCAGCAAGTAGCATTGTTAATCAATGTTATCTTAATAAATATTATTTTCCAATTCCAAGCTGCTCTTTTTCTTTATATTTCAATTGTGTAGTAAAATATTTTAAAATATGAAAATTAAAACATTTGATAAAACAACAGGGCACGTTATTTCAGCTAGATGTGTTAAAAAATATATTATTTCCAGGAAACTGCTAATTCCGACGGAAATGATAA